CCCCAAAACCCCAAAACCCCAAAACCCCAAAACCCCTAGGATTATTAATTATATTGTAACAAGTGAAGATGGATAATATGGCTAGTTTTATGATGAGAGAGAAGGTTGTTGAGAGGATAAATAAGCCTAATAGGTAATTTTTGAGAGGGTTTTAATGAATTTGAGTGTGATTTAAGCAGATAGAATGAAATTTTGTGGTCTAGGAGTGGTTATAGATTTTTGAGAGATTTGTTTGAGTTGAATTTGAAGAGATTTGGTATGATTGGAATTTTAATAGTTTTCTAAGTTTTATGAAAAAGGGAAAGTTAGGAAAGTTTTGAATGAAGAAATCTTGAGGGGTTTAAGTTGTGATAATTTTATTTTTTAGTGAAAAGTTTATTTAGTAGTATACATATCTTGGTTTGATATTTCTAATAAGTTCAAGATTATATTAAATTTGCTATACATCCAACTCATCTCTATCAAATTTGCAAAAGTGTTTTGTTCATACTCAGTCCCAAGTACTTCCATACAATAATTTTGAAATGTCTCACCATCAATCAAAATTCGTTACTTAAGAAAATTGGTCTGATATTTTCAGCTACAAAACAAGGAATAAATCAAATTCAAAACCTAATGGGACTAAAGGGGACATACTAAGTACTGCTATTAAGAGCATGCTTGGAGGCTCTAAAATGGGCGAGCCCAAGATATTTTCCCCACTAGAAACTCTCCAGAATGGTTATAGTGGCTTCCAAATTTCTTCAAATTGCTCGAACTTTGAAAGAAGAAAGTAAGCTTCGACTCTTCATTCTGTAGAGCAAGGGTCCTCCGGTCGAAGTCTAATACTGTATATGGAGAAGAAAATCACAAATTTGTTGAGAATCATTCGAAAATGTCTAATTTTGAATATCTTTATAAATAAGGAAATCGACTACCGTAAGCGACATTTTATGCAACTTGTAGGTAATGAAGTTATGAAATCCAAATCCTCCTTTAGTGGTGACAGCATGATGAAGGAGAGGGTCAAAAGTTTCAAGAGTAGCACAAATTGCAAAATCTTTCATAAAGTCAAATAAGTCTAAAACAGGCCTCCTAGCTCGGATTTATAAAAAGAAAGGCAAACTAGGCCATAATCAATCGTGCTCTTCTACTAGTATTATTACATATTTATTAATGTTAGGGCCTGATTCGATGATAAAGGAGAAGAAATCCTGAAAATTAGAAAGTTCAGCACCACTGAATCTTAAAATTGACATTGAAACTCAAGGTAATGTGTCCTCCATTCATACGATCTCTTTATTATTTCTCATATAAGCCATTATATGATTTAACGACTGTATAGGCTCATCGCGGCCTGCTCAAAAAGATAGACCTCCAAGGAAGAAGGATACTTCACAAAAATTGAACATCTGTGTTGGAGACACAGGGAACAACATTCAAAGCACTGTGAATACTCCAACTTCCGTCGGGGCTGAGGAATCGTTCACAAATTGAGTGAAGCCTGATCTAGCTACTCTTCATGAAAACGTAACCTTTTTAACCAAATATAGTATTTAAAAAATTTACTGAAGGATAAGATGCCTTCAAGATCTCCAAACATAAACTCACTGGATAGCAGAGAGCTGACATTGTTCCTGGCTGCGAGTAGGACCTCTAGTTTTTACAGATCTAACCAGCAGGATGAGGCTACAGACTCACCAGATGAGAAAACCCCCACTAAGTTTAAATAGGATTTGTGACCCCTTTATATAAGTTCAGCTTGTTAAATTTATTTTGGGGTTTTGGGGTTTTGGGGTTTTGGGGTTTTGGGGTTTTGGG